CTGTCCTTCAACATTTCCCTGTCTCTCTCCATAATCAAGCCTGTCCGACAGATTTCCTCCCGCAATATTAAGAACATAAACACAGACATTTTATCTTCCCACATTGACAATATCCCACTTCCTGCTCTTTCCTCTCCAGCCCACCTTGTCACCCACTACAACTCTGGACTGTCCAATATTCTCAATTCCCTTGCCCCTCTCAAAACCCGGTCTGTGTCCTTTTCCCCCTCTGCCCCTTGCTTTACTTCTGAGCTCCGCCTCTTGAAAGCCAAAGGTCAGCAACTTGAACGCCTCCACAAAAAAACTGGTCTCTCCATACACAAAGAAATGCATAAAACTCAGCTTCTTCACTATTAAAACTTAATAGCCATTACTTAATCAAACTACTATTCTGACCTTATCTCCTCCAATGACGGAAACTCCAAGTCTCTCTTTTCTATTATGCACAAGATTTTTGACCCCCCTGATACCCTGCCTTCTTACATGTATTCAAGTCAGACTTGTTTGATAAGTCAGAATAAGTGAGTATTCTTTGATAACCTTTTTTAATAAAAAAAAAAAAATCAGCTCCATTCACCAGCAATTCCAAAGCCAGTCATTCTCCTGCTTCCTACTGTTCACTTCTTCTGAAATTTCTGACCTTATTCGAAAATCCTAGTCCTCTACCTGTTCTCTTGACCCCATCCCCACAGCTCTGGTCAAAACCTGTCTTACCTCCCTCCTCATCTTCATTACTTCCATTATTCATTCCTCACTCTCTTCTGGTATTGTCCCTTCACAAAACTGTATCTGTCTCCCCGATTCTGAAAAAGCCTGGTTCTGATCCCACCAACTTTAATAATCTTCGTCCCATTTCAAATCTTCCCTTGATCTCTAAAATACTTGAAAAAATAGTGTCTGCTCAACTCCACACCTTTCTTACCCTCAACAGTCTTTACGAGCCTTTCCAGTCTGGTTTTCGCCCCTCTCCTAGTACTGAAACCGCCCTAATAAAAATCACAAACGTGCGGCCTTTGATACCATTTCTCACCCTATTATTCTCCTCAAAAGATTATCCTCTCTTGGCATCTCTCACACCCCGCTTGACTGCTTCTGCTCATATCTCTCTGTCCGCACTCAGTTTATTCAACTCAAATCTTTCACATCACACCCTCCCCCTGTCACTACTGGTGTCTCTCAAGGCTCAGTTCTTGGCCCCCTCCTCTTCATCACCTACCTCCTTCCCCTTGGCAGTGTTTTTCGCAAATTCAACATTTATTTTCACTGTTATGCAGATGACACTGAGCTTTATCCAGTAAACCCACTTCCTCACTCCCCCGTTGTCCCTTACTAACTGCCTACTTGAAATTAAAGACTGGTTCACCTCAAACTTTCTTAAACTAAACACTGATAAAATCAAACTCCTCCTCGTTGCCACTAAATCCACCCTATCCAAAACCAATAGTTTCTCACTACCCAGGTCTCCCCCTCCCCTCAGGTCAAGAGTCTGGGTGCCAGCCTCGACTCCTCCCTCCCAATTCAGACACACATAAATAAAGTTACCCTGTCAGCATACTTCCACCTTAGCAACATTAACCGTCTCCGTTCCTCCCTCAACACTCACACTGCCTCTGTCCTTATCCACAGCCTCATCAACTTATTGTATTTCTCTTCTTTTCGGCCTCCCTCATAAATCCCTCCATAAACTCCAACTTCTTCAGAACTTAGCTGCTTGTGTCATCACAAGAACCCCCTCCTTTCATCATATTTCCCCTGTCCTTTACCAACTCCATTGGCTTCCAGTTCAGTTCAGAATACAATTTAAAATCCTTCTCTATACTTTCAAAGCCATCCATAACCTTGCACCTCCATATCTGTCAGACCTACTTCACATTGCTACCTCCTTCCACTCCCTTAGATCCTCCTCCTTTATCCACCTCAGTGTACCCCCAGAGCCTTCAGCCGCTCTGCTCCCCAGCTGTGGAACTCACTTCCTCCCAACCTCTGCAGTATTGACTCTCTCTCCTTATTCAAAGCCACTGGAAACTCATCTGTTCCAGCTCGCTTATTTGTAAATACACTGCTCTTGTCCCTATGTATAGCTGTTTTAATGTTCCTGTATTTGTATTTTTGTATTTTAATTGTTATTTTTATTTTCTGTAAAGTGACCTTGAGTGTCCAGAAAGGCGCTGTTAAAAAAATGTATTATTATTATTATTATTTATATAGTTGGGCTAAGGGGGTATAATTTTCTAAATCCCTTGTCTAGGAATACTGGTTAGGATAAGCTTGTATTTATTTTAATCCTGGCGGTAGGAAAGTAGCATACAGATCCAAGACATCCAATTGTTTTATCATTAGACCAAAACAAATTAATAGTTAAACTCAGATATTTCCAACAAAATGAGTAAAGATGTTTTTTTCTACATCAAGGCTGATAAATACCGATTCAGTGTAACTATTTTTGATGTGATTAATGAGGTGGAATCCCTGTCTTACACTGTCATGAGTCTGCCTAAATCCTGTATGGTCATTATCAGTAAGGTCTTGGATTATATTTTTGAAACATTTAGTGATTATTGATACAAAGAGTTTATTGCGTGTCTTTATGATGTTTAGTTATAATTCTGTTCTGCTTTGTTCCTGTGGTTTTGGATTTTGGACTGTCCTCATAAAAGTTCTTTTTGATCCACATGGTTCATATTGCTTTTTGATTTCCATAAATCTCATTTAGAGTTTATATGTTTAAGATCTGTTATAAAACCATAGAACCATTACTTTTCTTTTTTCCAATTGTAAGGATTTAACCAATTAGTCAGTTCCCTGGTCTACTTTTCTTCTTCCTTCTTCTTTTCTTTAGTTCACTCCTTAATTAAAACTGACTTAGCAGCATCCGAGATTGTGCTTGGGAGAACAATCTTTAATTTAAGTGATATATTTTTAAATGTGCTATATATATTTATAGATATCAAACCGAATTTCTAGTCTTCTATTTTTCTACTCTAAAGATGTAGGATGTTTCTTAGAATGGTCATGTTTAGTATTTAAGATATGCCTCTGTTGAAATATATCACATTGTTTATTCTTTTCATTTAAGCCTAGTTCTTAAAGGAATAGTACACCCAAAACATGATTAGCCTTCATTTTCTACTCACCCCCATGCTGAACAACACTCTGGAGTTCTTT